TAGAGCGCGTAGGTAGGTATAGAAGGGACGAGTCTTTCTTAGAAGGGCTAAAAACTACGCAAAACTAGCGCTAAGACAAAGACTAATCCCTACTCGAAGGCACTAGTTACTTAGCGGAAGGGTACGAAGAAGATAGAGAGGTCGAAGAAGGGCTCGAAATCTTAGGCTTCGTAGAAGCGTAAGCGATAGGCGGCTACTAAACTACTACGCAATACCTCTAATACACATACCGATACGCAGAATAATACTCTTAATATATCTAATAGACCTCTAAGTAACTAGGATAAAATTAGTATAGTAGTTATTAAGAAACGCGTACGCAAATCTATACCTACTAGCAAGCCGTCTAATAACTAGCCCGCTACCTCTACTTAAGCTTTAAGCCTCTACTACAAGGTTGTCTATAAGATATTGTTTAAATAGTATAAGCAATAACCGGTTAAGCTTAATAGTTAATCGGCTATCTATAGAGGCAAGATAGAGATAATATCTATACTATTTCGAGAGGCTAAGGTTAGGGCATAGGAATTTGCTAAAGAACGTAGTCTATAGGCTTACTTCTACAAGCGAGAGGCTATTATTAAGGCTACTAAACACGGTGCTACTAAGGAGACAGATACTATATTGTTTGCTAAGCTAAATAACTAGACTATTAATATAGACGAGCTTATTGTCTACAACGTAGAGGCTAAGCGACAAGTTACTATTACAGTTAAAGAATGCTAGTCTAATAAGCTACGAGAGTCGGTTACTACTATTAACAGTAATGCTAACCTTATAGAATCCGACTAAGACAAGCTACCTGCTATACAGAAAGAGAAGGGCATTAAATCTACTCGCAATACTAACGAGAAGACTATTAATAGTATTGTCGAGTCGCGAGAGATATACAAGACCTTATTAGCTAAATTCCACTATCTAGATAGACAGTGTACTAACACTAAGAAGGGTAGCAACGTCGGCTGCTATATATAGCATAATAGTACCTATTACTAGATACTAGGTAGACACCTAGAAGAATAGCGTAACGCTATAGAAGCCGGCACTATAATAGTAGATAATATGCTAGGTTAGCTTGTTTAGAAGGTTGTAAAGAACTACAATAATATGCACTATAGTAAGAAGAAGGAGCCGTCGTTGCTATAAGAGATACTAATACTAGCAGCTCCGGTACTATAGTATAGCCCTATGCCTCTATTTAATCTATTTGCTATACCTCCGCTATATACGATACCCTAGTTAATGCCGCTATAGGCTTAGCTGAATCCGCCTATCTAGCTAAATCTACGCTCTTTACCGATTGTCGATAGTAGGGCGGCTATTCTTAATAGGGCGAAGTATGTTACTAGGTACTACGACTAGCTCTCGAAGAGGCATATCTATATGCGAGAGGCGCTCGTTGCAGTAAAGGCTAAGCTAAAAGCAGGCTTCTAGACTCTTTATATGCTTAAGAAGGAACCTAACGAGGTCCTAGCAAATAACGTACTACAAATTAGCATCCGGCGGAAGCTAAAGGACGAGATAAAGGTATATATAAGTGCTATAGAAGGTAGTCTAGCTTATAAGAGCGAGAAGGAGAATAATACAGCTAATGCTACGACTAAGGATAAGGTAACTAATAACGAGTTACAACAGCTAAGCTAACTTTAACACTTTAGCTTAGTCTATATTTAACTATAACTGTTAAAAAAATTCCGGCTATATATAAGAAGCATAATTAAATAGTATAGATCTATATAGGATATATAAATTAATTAGTATCTATTAAAAGTAGTGTATTCTAGGCCTCTATCGATGTTAGTAATGCTATAGACTAATGCCGGAAGTCGCTCGGACTCGCTTCGCGGTATCGGTGAAACTCTCGGCTATACCTACGGCAAAACTTCTTTAGCTTTATATACTAATAACACTACGAAGAACTATTCTCTCTATATAATTATATACAGTATGTTTTAAATTAGCCTCGTCGGTAGATTGTAAAAAAAAAGAGCGAGTTAATAGCTATTATAGTTATTTCGTAATTCAATCTAGTACTAAAAGCCGGCTTATAGACTGTATATCGGACCTCTAGCTATAGCTCGAAGCTCGAGCGACTTTACGAATTCGAGCAAATTCTATAGTTAGATTTATAATATAACAACTATATATCCGATTGACGTTATTATTTTTTTAAAATGCACTAAACAGGCTAGTCTATATAATAGGAAAAAAATTAATATAATAGTATTAGTATAGGCGTATATAATAATTAGCATTACTAAATCCGAAGGAACGCTAAACTAAGCTCGGAGCTTGCCGACTTTCCGTATCGGTATAGGGATATAGCCTAGTAGTATATACTACATTTCGGTAGTATCGATAGCGAGGAGGTGCTAGCTATATAATAGTCGTATCGATAAGATTTTTATATCGTTATGTAGCGCCGAGTTCAAGCTTTTGAATAATACTAAAAGTATATATATCGGTGTATTATATAGCTTACATTATATAGTATAGTGTTTCTACTATATAACAACCCTTAAAGATTGCTATATAATCAACCCCTCGACCCTAATTGCGACACGCTATCCGTAGAAACGCTTTAAACTTCTCTTACTAACTATTATCGCTATACTTTAGTATTAACCTAGCGTGTTTACGTATCTAGTGTTTTAATAGGTAGAAAGACTTCTCGATTAGTATATAGTTAGGCGAATATAGCGGCAGAAACAATACTCGTACGCCTACTTTCTAGTATATATCGACGACGTGCTAGCGGCTATAGGTTAAGCAGTTATCTATTAACAATACCGAGCGCGGGTTTAGATATCGCTATATCTTTAGCAGTATATATAACTAGAGCTATTCTAGGAAGTCCGCTATCTTTATACTGCTAGGTTTAATTAACGGGTCCTCGAGATATCCTTTAGAAGTATACGCCGGTAGTAGTAAGAACCGCTTACTATAGTATAGGTACTAGATATCGTACGCCGGCATGCCTAGAGGCGCCTAACCTCTCTTCCGATATACTACTCTATCGCTAATATAGCTCTTATCTATATATACTATTATATCGATACTAAAGGACTATACCTACGCCTCGAATATAGCTCTTGCGACCGGGTCGCGTTACGTAGCTGTTCTAGAGGTTAGTTTAAACGTAAAGTGCTTATCTGCTAACAACCGCGCAATCGTCTAAGTACTAATCTATTCCGAGTACTTATCTAGTAGATAGTACTATATCTCGTTATACTATAACGACAGTGTCTCTAGCATTATTTCTACTATAAGATCCCTTATTTCCGGCATAATAATACGAGGCCTTCCGCCCTTTATTAGCACTACCGATCCGGTCTCTCTCTATCTCTTTATTCGTATATAAACCGCCGTCCGAGACCTCCGATTATTATACTATAATAGCTTCGTAACCTTATCGAATAACTAGCTATCGTCGAGGCAGTGTTAGATTAGGTTATTATCTTAAATAGTAAGGGTAGGTATTAGGCGGTCGATAGGCGGGTAGGCGGTCGATAGGTAGGCGCGGCGATAATAATACCTTAGAATAGCCTATACTACTAAAAAGGCGACAATATACACTTAAAATAGTGATATTTAGTATAGAAAGAGCAGTAGGAATAGCAGAGGAATAGCTTTACGATTACTATAGAGATCACTATAGAATAGTAGTAGACCCTCCTCCGCAATCCCGACCCTTTTGCTCTAGAGAATAAGCTTGCACGACGCTACACCTACTTGACCGGGCTATCGCCGGCGAAGCCAAGGGCATATTCGCGAAAGAAAGATATCGAGATCGGATCGCGTTCTCATTCGGCGAGCTCCCGTCGCTATAAGACGCTTACTGTCGGCTGGTACAATCTTTCGTGTACCGTTCCAAACGATGAGAACTTGGCAAATGCATTGGGAAGAGATACCGAGGAATTCATAGGATACCGGCCAGGCTTCGAAGAGGATTGGCCGGATTGGCCTGGACTATACGGCGAAAGATCGTGGGCTCCTCGGGATAATTGCGCAGAACACTCTGCGTTTCGGATGCGCCTCGGAAGAAGAATGCACACCGTACTTTCCACCGCTGCTGGATCATCTGAGATCTGTTGCCGTGGATGGACAGTACGCAGTCCAAACACCAGACCTCCATGGAGGCACGTGGATATCGGCATGGTGACTCTGTATGGGAAGCTCAAGGATACATTTTGGGATGGCTACTTTGGGATATTACCTGGCCATGGGCGAGGAGTTGAGGCAATACAGTGATCTGGGCTTGGTCGGTCTGGATTCTCGCAGCGTATGAGTACAATACTGTAGGCCGACTCTTCCCCATGCGGGGGAGATGGCTTCTTTCACTCAGCGCCCAGGGCATCCACGCGATGATCGACATGCTCGGCGTCCTTTCACCTGTCAAACTACGATATCGGTCGGCGCTTCAGCTGCAGCATGAACCCGTCGGGGGACGAACTGCTACCGGAACGGAAACAGAGAAACACTTTGCTGGATGCGTAAGTCCGACTAGCACATACAGTATCGAATGGCAATGCACGCTCAACGACCTCGGATGGCACCAAATGCAGGCAATGGTGCAGACCACACGTGGCAAATACCCTGCCGTGAAGCTGTGAAAGCCTCCATTGATCGTGCCCAGCCTTGGCCGCGAGGATCTCAAGACCGGCGCTCCACTTCTCGACTTCCCCGCCTTTGTTTTCCTTTCCCTCCAACAGTTGAACTCGGGGCAAATGCTCGCTTCGCTTCTCCATCGCCTTGGCCAGCGTGTGACATGACGCCAATGCAATGTATCAACGAGCCAAGGAGATCTGGTCGAAGCACGTGCAGGCGTGGCAGGGTATTCCATTCCACCGAGGCATGGCACGCTTGTGGTAGGTCCTACAAGACAACCAGTTCTTGATCCCCTTGCCAGCTTCACCGAACATCCTCCTCCTGTGCTCCTTCTCAAAACCCCTCAAGCATTGTCTGTCGACAGACTACAGATTTCCCCCGACGTGTCAAGCATGGCGACCTTCGACACCGGAACAAAACACCGCGAGGGTGTAGAGCACCTGGAGCGAAACGAGCATTCACCCGTCCCGGCAAACAAGTATGATCTCGACATCGACTTCTCTCCGGCCGAACAGCGCAAGATCATCCATCGAATCGATCGACGCCTCATCATAACAATCGGAATCATGTATTGCGTTTCTCTAATGGATCGCACAAACTTGAGCAACGCGGCAATCGCAGGCATGACAACAGAGCTATATTTGATCGGATTCCGATATGTGAGTTCACGAGGAGATGATGCTCGAAACAGCCAATTTCGAAACCTAACACTGACATTTTCGTGTCGTCAATCAGTCGATTATTACTCTTGTTTTCTTCATTACGTATGTGATGTTCCAGCCTCCAGCGACGGTACTTTGCAAAAAGATTGGCCCCAGGTGGTTTTTGAGTGTTATTACATTTCTGTGGGGATGTAAGTTCCGCGTCGCGAAGGGATGGGATGGGATAAACAAGAGAGGAATTTTTGGCTGATGGATCTCAGGTTTGATGATTGGAATGGGATTTGTTGACACCTGGAGCACACTCGCCGGGCTCCGAGTCATTTTGGGGTTACTTGAAGCTGGATTTTTTCCTGGTAAGTGAGCGTCGAGGCGGATACTTCAGTCGAGACTCGTAAGCTGGTGCTGATTATCAATTGCAGGATGCGTTTATCTGCTCAGCACATGGTACGTACGATGTAAGTTGCAGATCAGAGCGCTGCCTTGTCTTTTTTATTTTGCTGATGATTCTACACCAGATGACATGGGCAAGCGTTATGCCTTCTTCTACCTCCTCGGCATGCTTGCAAGCGCCTGTTCCGGCATTCTTGCCTTTGGCTTGATGCAGATGAATGGACTCGCTGGCATGGGTGGATGGCGATGGATGTAAGGCAACAACCATCTACCATACATGTTTCAACCCACTGACGATATCTAGCTTCGTCATGGAAGGTATAATCACCGTCCTCATCGCCATCGGCGGCTTCTGCTTCCTCGTCCCATTCCCAGACGACAGCCCACACAAGTGTTGGGGATTCCTGAACGAGCGTGAAGTGCAATGGGTCATCGCCCGCGTCGAAGCCGATCGAGCAGATACCAAAACCGAGCCCTTCAACCTCCTCAAATTCCTGAAACCCGCCAGTGACCCGAAAGTCTGGGGCTTCGCTCTCATCTTCTTCTGTTTGACAACCGTCACTTACGCCCTCGCATACTTCCTCCCAATCATCTTAAGAGAAGGAATGGGCTTTAGCGTCGGTGCATCACAATGTCTAACCACACCACCCTACGCTTTCGCTGGTATCGTGATGTTCATCACAGCTTGGATCGGAGACAAATACCACGTCCGCGGTCCCCTGCTCATTTTCAACGCTACCTTGTGCATCATTGGACTGGCACTGATGGGCTGGGTCGATATCCTCGGCGTTCGATATTTTGGCGTATTCCTGACGTGCGCTGGAGCGAACGCGAACATTCCTCAATGCATGACTTACCAGGGCAACAATATCCGCGGTCAATGGAAGCGGGCCTTCTGCTCTGCGACTTTGGTCGGGTTTGGTGGGATCGGAGGTATTGCGGGCTCTTTGGTTTTCCGAAAACAGGATGCTCCGGAGTACTTGCCCGGACTTTGGGCGTGTATGGCGGCGTGTTTGTTGATCATCGTTACGGTTTGTGTTTTGGACACGTATTTCTATTTTGCGAATAAGAAGGCTGATCGGGGTGGGTTCGCGATTGAGGGGGCTGATGTTAGTATTTCCAGACTTTTGTGTTGGGGTTGTGCTGACTCTTTCGTAGGATGGGTTCCGGTATACTTACTGAGGATGAAGGCGGAAAGTATGTCAGGCGCTCAGCGAAGACAGTTCCAATCGATAGCACGCACGTATACAGCTGAACTCGAATCTGGCTCGCACGTGCAATCATCTTCACTTATGGACTCGCACGTGCCTTTCACTTCCACGCTAACTTATCGTGCTCGTCCCAGCAGTGAACGTCCCTCGCTCTCGGCCTTTGAGCACGGCATCGGTCAGTGGATGCTTCCTCGATCTGAAGCACAAGCTGACAACCGTGCTGACGAGCTGTGTGAATCCTTCGACAAAGTCCAGCCCCGTCTCCTTTCAGACGCTCCGTAGAAGCCTGATCTGGTCTGGCCAGCAAAGGATTGGCACACCATGCAGTTATCACGCGATATATGGAGGCTCGCTTGCGCAAGTACGTCGAAACGCGGAGAACCTTGCTCCTCCATGTGATGATTGAGCTCGGACCGTACAGCTCGGTCATAGCACATATCCCTGGTTGTTGTCTGTATACCCAAAGCCTCACGAAATTCCGGCATCCAATTTCGTCTACACTGCCACGAAGTCAGGTGCCAAATTCTTCCATCGCGCCGCTCTCAAACTCGCTCGCCGCAATCCTCCTCGCTTGATACTTTGAAGGAAGTCTTGGAGCTTTGGAGCCGATCCCGCTCCGCTTGCCAATGTTCTTGGGGGAATGGGCCAAGATCTTCTACCACTATGGCCAAGGACCAGCGTTTCCCCAAACATGTCTGCGTCGCACAATGTTGGTTGCGATATAATTGGTGCGAAAATTCTTTGATTAGGCAGTTCTGCCTACAAACTTCCCTTACCAAGTGCAAGGACCATGCATTCAATCCTTCCTTGGCATGACCGATGAAGAACACTTAATGTGCACATCCGCCTTGGTCAACTCGCGCACTCACTCGCCGGAACATTTCGCACTCCTTTCGCTGCGGCTCAACCGCAGCTTTCGCCGCAATGGGTCGACTCCCTTCCCTCCCGAAGATCTACAATGTCTACTTCGTGGCTTTCGTGGCCACGGTAGGTGGTATGCTCTTCGGGTTTGACATCAGCTCCATGTCCGCCATCATCGGAACAAACCAGTACAACGAGTTCTTCGACTATCCCGCCGGTCTCAAACAAGGCGCCATCGGATCTTCTCTCGCGGCGGGCTCGGTCTTTGGCTCGGCGATCGCTGGTGTGTACTCTGACTGGATTGGCCGCAGACAAGCTATCTTCTTCGCGTGTATCTGGTGGCTTGTTGGCACGGCTGTTCAGACTGCTACGAATGGTTTTGGGTCTCTTGTTGCGGGACGTGTGTTGAATGGTGTCACGGTTGGGATCACGAGCTCGCAGGTTCCGGTGTATCTTGCAGAGATTGCGAAGAAGGAGAAGAGAGGTGCTTTGATTATTATTCAACAACTTGCTATCGGTACGTGAGGAGCACTGGATGGAGGTTCGTGGCTTTACTGATTCCGGGCAGAATGGGGTATCTTGATTATGTACTTCATCGGTGTCAGTGTTTCAACCCACCACATGTACAGCCGAATACTGACAAACAGTAGTACGGATGCAGCTTCATCCCAGGTCCCGCATCTTTCCGAATCGCCTGGGCGATGCAATTTATCCCTTGTGTTCTACTCATGATCGGACTACCATTCCTGCCCGAATCTCCTCGATGGTTAGCGAAGAAAGATCGCGGCGAGGAAGCCATTGATATCCTCGCCAAGATCCAAGCCAAAGGCAATCGTGATGACCCCCTTGTGGTTGCCGAGTGGGAAGAGATCACCGAGACTCTCGCTGCTGAGCGGAACAGCGTCTACAAAGGCTGGAAGAAGTTCGTCTACAATGGCATGTGGAAGCGGACGATGGCTGGATTTACTTGTCAGATGTGGCAGCAGAATTCCGGAGCTAACGTAATGACCTATTACGTCGTTTACATCTTCCAAATGGCCAACCTGACCGGCAACATCAACCTTATCGCGTCGGGGGTTCAATACGCCCTCTTCATCATTTTCACAACAGTCATGTTCTTCTACATCGACAAGACCGGTCGTCGGCCCCTACTCATCTATGGTGCCCTTGCTATGGGTTTCTGCCATTTCGTTGTGGGCGGCATCCTCTCGGCCGGAGAATATGTTCCTGGCGGCGTCGACGGCAATCCGAACGTTCTGATCAAAGTTACTGGAGGCAAGGCCAATACTGTGATAGCATTTTGTTACTTGCTCATCATCGTCTATGCTTTGACTCTAGCACCAGTATGCTGGGTCTATGCTGCGGAAGTCTGGTCCTTGGAGACCCGTGCGACTGGAATGGGCATTGCTGCGATTGGTAATTGGCTGGTACGTATCAGCACACTAAAAGTCCTCCAGTTCTGACTGACCGACTCTCTCCAGTTCAACTTTGCCCTCGGCCTCTACATCCCGCCCGGTTTCATCAACATCAGATGGGGAATGTTCATCGTCTTCGGGGCAATGTGCGTGCTCGCCGCGATTCAGTTCTTCTTCACGTACCCGGAGACATGTAACAAGACTCTTGAGGAGATCGGTAAGCAAAAAATCCACAGCCCTACTCATCTCGTTCGTCCAGCTAACTCCGAGTTCAGAGGAAATGTTTGCGCCTGGTGCTATCAAGCCGTGGAAAACGAAACCTGGCCATTCGAAGCTGGACGCTCTTGTTGCGGAGGTGACGGAGAAGCATTTGACTATCAATGATGTTACTCGTTCCGATTCGGTGGATAGAAAGGATGCTGCAGTGAATGTCGAAAAGGTTGGAGGATCAAACAGCTAGCTGTGCACTTCTCGAGCATACGTGATATTCGTAGGAATTACCCAAAAGCTTACTGATCGATGGCAATTACGATACCCAGCTTCAGTAATGAGATATAAATTCCGAATTCAAAATGCCTGATGTAGAAGCGCAGTATGTATCTCGACTCTCGCGGTTATATTGTGGTATTCAGATGTCCATGCCATGCGACCTACTACCTCAGAATTTGGCTTGTAGGTAGGAACCTAAGCTAAGAAATCGATAGTAGTGTACACAGCAACTTCTGGATTAGCGCTTTCCGACGATCTAATGCTTTGCATAGGTCTCTCGAGCGGGTATTACGATATAGGTCGTCGTCGTTGCCCGATTTTAACGTTCCTTATAGAGAGGCCCGGTTATCGAAGAGTAGGTCCTTTGTGTATATATTCTAATACTACGATAGTAAGACAATATATATACAATCCCGAGATTTGCTACGTCTGCTATATATCGCGAACTTTTTAAATCCCGTAATTATCCTTAAGAAAATCGATCGGGAACCTAAGCCTACGCGGCGAACTCTTCCTACTAAGTTAGCCGTAATATAATTATAGAGTCTTAATCGCAACTAATTAACTAGTTAATTAATAACTATAATCTTATAAACCGCTAAAAGACAAAGTCGCTATTCCCGGAGGATAGTTACTCGAAATCGTATAAGTCTTCTATAGGAAACTAATATTCCTATATTAACCTCTCTACTATAAGTAGGCCTATTTTGCTAGCAATCCGCCCGCCCTGCCCTATTTATAGTATAGGTAAAAGGTAGTATATATAACTTCCGTAAAAGGCTAATCTATTCTAGTAATTAACGAGTAGAGAGTACGAACGGCCTCTTTAGTAATAATAAAAGCCGAATACTTGTTAGTATAAGCCGGAGCATTTAGAGGAGCTTATTACGACTAGGATAGCGAAGGTATTATCCGATAAGACATTTAATAGCTATAGGTAGAAGAATAGTTAGAATTTGTATGCTTAATACTATTACGTATAAAAATTTCGCCGGGGGTTTAGTCTTATATAACTCCTACTAGGCCTCTAATTAGAAGAAATAAAAAAAATTTAGCCTAAATAGGTACTTGATTAGGACGGCGGGTAGGAGGAACGGTAGACAGGCACCGAATTCTAACGGTTCTTCTACTTAGCTCGTATATAGACAACGTCTGCCTTTACGGTACTTTATATACAACGGTAACCTGCTCCTCCCCTCTGTGTGGCCTTATGCTGTGAGTTTCGTAACGTCTTCTCATCAGCCAGCGAGTTGGCGAGTCTATCTGCATTCGGGATATCCCAAGGAGCTTCGCATAAGTCGTTTGCGGGAGGGTGGTACGCCAAGCTGCTCATAAACGGATAACCACATAGCCTGTGGTGGCTGAAGATAGCCTACCATCTTCGAAGTTGCGAAGTTTGACTGCAACGGCCTTCATGGCTTTCGGGTTGGTTGGGCTGCATTGGCTTACAGTTGCCAAAATGAGACCATACTCGTTGTGCTGTTCTTCCAGTAGGACGAGAGGGTGTTGTACACTTTTGCGAATCAAGCTTTCGCGTTCATCCGATGCAAATGCAAAATATAGCGTGAGACTCCATCTCCAGCTCCCATTAATGAAACCCCAACGTAGCACTCTGAAACCGATATGCGGAGCTTCGGGACCGTGGTACAGCAGAAATTGATCTGTCCAGTGATGGTGTGACTTGTTCACGTAGCCTAAAAGTGCAGCTCACCTACATAAATCAAGCGTCAGTAGATTGTCCTAGCTGTGATACGCGAAGCTTCTGGGAACTGTTCGTAGTTGCTCGGCGGAGCAACTTGCAAGCGCCGCATCGACCTGTCCTTGCCACGATGGTTGCTTGTGGTTTCCATATCGATTGGATGCGATCGATGTTTTTGGAGAGTCTGACTGCTCAAGTAAGCTCGAGAGTGTCGTAGCCGTTCACGCGGTCTTATCTCAAGCATGTATAACTTAATGGCTCGTGCAAGAACGGATCTTACGACCAGCGAACATGTTACGAAACGGAGTTGCCTCTCTGCCAGATGGCGGAGGTCTTAAATTTTTTTTTTGGTTTTTTATATTTTTGATTTTACATGATCGAGAGCACGGTGGCTCTTCTGGCCTCTGGCCCACGCTACACACATACGGTTAGTACATGGACACCTTCGTGATCGTTTCAATGCAGAGTTGCTTACAAGTGATGTGATGATGGGTGGCCAGCCCGGATTTACGGCCCAGCCGCTCGCTGCTGTTGCTGCTGCTTCTGCTTCTGCTGCTGCTGCTGCTGCTTCTGCTTCTGCTTCTGCTTCTGCTGCTTCTGCTTCTGCTGCTGCTGGTCTGTCAGTCGGAAGTCTGGTCAGCAAATGGCCATCGAAGCGATGTTGAACATTCACTCACACTCAGTTCAGCCAAATTCCGGTCGCTTGGAAGAAGTCTATCTGGAAGGCCACTGTAAAATTTAGCAAGTGATCGAGGAACGGGGGACCAGAGTTCAAGTCACTTACGATAGAACGCCTCGAAGGCGCGGGAGTCTATTCACTCGTTAGTACGGGTCGATGGACAAGTGTACAAGTGAGCCTCACCGTCTGTGCAGCCGTGGCAGAGCGGCTGCTCTCCATCGTATGTGATGGAGTCTCGCGACAAGTTTGGGCAGTTTACTGCGACATGCAGGTCGCGTGCTGGGTTCTGCGCGCAAGGCAGAGTCACCCAGTCGCTGGCTACAGGTCAGCCGAGTATACGTGCGTTTCGGTAAGTGAATGACTTACGTGATGTACGGGCACGCCACGTTGACGCACGTGCTGTACGTAGTAACGAAGCACATCTGTGCACTCGCATTAGTATCTCTAAATTATCATGTTGTCATCACAACACGAAATAGATCCAGAATGCAGAGAAAGAAGGACCAAAAGGAGACATTCAGAAAGTAGAGCTTCAGCAAGTACACTTATCCCGAAGAGTCCGGCCCTCTAGCATGCGACGGATACATGAAAGGGCATATATGAGCCTAGAAGCGGAGACTACCATCCGCCATGGAGAGGATAGCGTGTCGCGAGAGGTGGAGCGACTATACCAGATGACTCCTTGACACTCCAATGTAATGCTTTGCCTGGAGTTGAGACCATCGGTATAGACTTGAGACCGACCAGGAAAGGATTCGATTCGCGACCAGAGTGTGATCCAGAGATGACAGCGCGCCAGTGATCACCAGCAGTATGACTCCTGTATATTTGGGCTCCAGAGTACACCAATTTTGCTTTGAAGACCATAGAGTGTAACATATCGAAGAGACAATGTGAAATATAGCTTTCGGTGGATGTAAACTTACGATGCTGCTGCTGCTGCGGTGGCGATGGCGATGGCGATGGTGGTGGCGGTGGCGGTGGCGGTCGTGGTGATGGTGATGGTGCTGGATATACACAGTCAGTTTACACTCTGCCGTATCGAAGACTCTTGAAACCAATGATATTGTAGCCGCTTTGAAATCGGCTGGGGAGAGGGTGCGAAATGCTCAGGGGTACGAACTCACGTTGCTCTGTGATGTTGTGGAAGACTACACCATAACTGTCAGCAGTGTTTCTCTCTAGAGAAGGCATGGCGAGGAGGATTGTCTCCAACTCAAGCAGCTCTGCACCATCGAGCCATCTGAAGCGACGCAATCGCCATCGCTAGCTGCGCAGTGCATCGCCGCAGGGGCAGACGCTGCTGTGAGAGTTGAAGGGGGTCTTTGTGCAGGTGCATGGTCAGGGGCAACTTACAAGTGTCTGTCTGCTGTCGACGGAGATCTGCTGTCAGCATATGTCTCCTCTCAGTCAACTATAGGGCTACTTACGAAAGTCGCCTTGGTGCCGAAGAAGGGAAGAAGAGGCTGCGGCGAAGCGTGAAAAGTCGACACTGTGGCAGCTCCCGCTAGCGGCTGCATGATTTCACACGGCAACGGTCACAACGATAGGCAACGACGTCTGTTCGAATCGATTGGACATGGAAATCTTCTCAATTTTACTCAAACCCCACGCTCTTCGATGTCAACAGCATTGTTGCCATATGGCTATCACCAAGGTCTTTCCACCTATTTTACTACAGCTTCCATCAACGGCCATTGGTTCTTTAGTATCCTCGCATCACCTTGGTCAGCAAAGCGACTGTTGAGCTTTGGAGAACGGGGACAGGGAGAAATTCCAGTCGAAGGCAGGTTGCAAACCAAAAGAATCGCAGGGGCCAGAAATGCCTGGAGCAAGAAGGACACTGCGGCTGGAGGTATGCGCGCTGTTCGACACATCGAAGATCGTCCTCTCCTTGATAGAAATCTTGTTCAGACCACCAGCCTGAGCAGCGCCAATAGAGCCTTCTGAACAGGTCAGCAAATCTCCCTCTGATGGAATATTCTGTCAAAACGGAATCCTCGACGATCGACGCGTCGAAGCTGAATGTTCTTGCCTGTCAGGTATTCGATAGCAGAGTCACATCCATCTTCGGAACAATTTCGTCGACAAATCTTCACCCTGCAGTTGAAAATGCGGCCATAGCAAACTCGTAAAGATGAGCAAGCAGTGGTCTTGCAGTCTCGCAGGAGGAAGTTGGAATTGAGTTGATGCCAAGTCTTGCAAGGACAACGGAGATCGCCGCCAGCATTGCTCTTCCTCAACCTCTTTTCATTGCGATATCCAGACGACTTCATTATCACCCTGCACGAACGATAGAATGATACGCGGTACTGTCCAGAGACTATGCGAAAGGCTCGAGATGCGGGACATAAGTCAAGATTAGCACGATCACCATAGCAGCAGCCTGAGGAAACCGCGGATGGGAAGCTTTCGAAGCAGCAAGAAACGAAGTACGAAGGAGCACGAGATCGAATGAATGAAAGAGCAAGAGGGTGTAGAAGGGAAGAGCATGACTACCCGGGAACAGAGCTGCCATGCGATGAAGAACGACCAGATGTCGCGTAGGAAGCGAGCTGGAATGAAACAGAATACGAAGAAACGAATGACCATAGATCGCTAGCAGGCGTAGGCATAGCGGAAAGCGTCCACCAGAAAATGTCTTCATGAACTTGGTCCATTGAATCTCATTTTTATAGCGCCCCAAAAGCCTCGAGCTGTATCCCAATCTTGGTGCCGAAGCTACACTTCCTCGCGATTGCGATTGGGCCAAGAAGCTTGCTCGCGGGCTAATTCGATCTAAGCGGTCGCAATCAGGTCGAAGTAAATCCATGGACATCTTGAACCACGGTCTTCAGGATACCATCGCCTTTCGTTCCTTATCAATCCCCTCAATCCCTCTAGAACATAAGTCTCCCTCCATGCCTCCCTCCCTCCTCAAGCCCTCCCCTCCCTTACCCCTCTCAAAACCTCATCCTCCATCCCAACAACCTCAACCCCAGCCCCCTTCAACTCATCCCTCAACCTCTCGACATTCTCCGCCCCATGGTGCACTCCCCTCGTCGCATCCTCCACAAGATAACTCCGATACCCGAATTCCACCGCATCAACAGCCGTACACTTGACACAAAAATCATAAGCCAAACCCACACAGAAAACATGTGTGATCCCCGCAGCTTTCAGCTTCGCATCCAAATCACTCATCGAGACCCTAGGGTTTCGAAACGGAGGTCCAAAGCCGGAATAAGATTCGACGCGAGGATCTGTGCCTTTGGAGATGATGATGTCGAATTTGGAGGAATTGATTTCGGGGATGATTTGAGCTCCGAATGTGTTTTCGACGCAGTGGTCTGGCCATAATAACCTATAAGAAAGAAATCACATCAGCAAACAAACCCCTTCCTTCTTCCTCCGTCCCCCTTATTCACCTCAATAACTCACGTCGTCTGCGTCCCCCCCTCATTCTCAGGATTTCGAATCGTATGACTCGACACAAAAGCCTTCTTGTCCTGATGATTCGAAGCGAAAGAAATGTGGTTTGGGGGATGTACGTCTCTCGTCGCGACTCGCAATTTCCAACCAGGGTAATTGAGGAGTTCGTTGATTTTTGGGGCGATTTCTCGGCCGTTTTGCACGGCTAGGCTGCCGTGGGGTTCGCAGAAGTCTTCCTGCATGTCGACGACGATGAGGGCGGGTATGATGGTGGAGGCCATGATGGGCGGCGGATACGGGAAGGATCTGGAGGATTTGTTATTTTCGTTTGGTGTTGGGTGAAGTTGTGGTGAGGTAATCCAACTGCCGCGCTAGCGAGAGCTGCGAAGCTTTCAGTTGTGGAAAGCTTGGCGCTGGAGTTTGTGCTTCATGGAGACGGAAGCTGCGAGTTCACTTACAACGATGATTCACTTCACTTCTAATGGAGGAAATGCCGATGTGGCTGGTGTGTCATGCCTGACTCTTGCTGTATGGTTTTCTGAGATCTATCGAATCCTTGACCATATAGCCGTCTCTATCTGCGAGAGCTCTTCCAATGGAACTCCTCAAGAACTGGCAACGATGAAGAAGTTCCTCAAGTGAGAGCCATTGGCTTGTAGCCTTGATTCTGCATTGCGCATTCCCAAGACGCGATCTGCCGCTGCGTAGGGTTGGTCCTGTTGAGTTGTTTCCGACAACATTTCTCATGCATGTGCGGACTTCTTCGCCAAGATTAGCACATTTACTCACCGCTCGATTGCTTCGTCACTTGTCCAGTACAGTAGTACAGCAATGCATCTCCTCGGTATGAGACTCCCGGATATCGCACAATCCCTCACTCTGCTCTTGTGCGGTCGATGCTCCTTGTCCGGCCGTTGACCATAGCGGCCTAGCGTTCGGTCTATGGAGCTCCATGTGACGAAGCATGATGTTGTGGACTCCCCATCACCGTGAGGACTATGGGACACCGGTAGAGCGAGTTATGTGATCGGAATGGCACAATGCTGATCTGGCCAGGCGACGGCATGTCGACAGACGCTGGGTCTATCGAGGTTGAGAACTCCAGGCGGCGTCCAGTGCAGAGTCCGATAGGGGAAAAGCTCGCCCCTAGCGGCGTTATGTCGCCCACTACGCGTGAGTGTACAGAAGAGGTGTTGTATAAGAACGCAACATTGTGTTCGTATTGCTCAGATACAATCACTGTCACATGTGGTGAGGAGCTTAATGAAGACATCGATGTGGTAGAACTATCTGCTGGAGAAACCCCGGCTTCAAAGTTGGCTTGGCGGCCCAACTTCAGGTCCCACTCTGCTGCCAGACATCTTTCGCCACAGCACCACGAGCATGTGACAATACATGCTTCAGTGTTGAATCACGCGTCACCGAGAGGCAGTTTCTCTCATCGAGCAACCATGCATGAAAGCCACCGTACAAAAGACCGTCCCCGCCCACGATGCTATCCGAGACCACCACCCACCATGAAGTCGGTATATGGACAGAATCGTTCCAAGAGCATGGACACTGCACATCCGACTGGATCGGTCTCGTGGCGTCGACCCAGACGCTGCGTGAGATGTGAGACGTGAGATCGTTGCTCTCGAGTCTTGAGAGGCACGACGGGCCCAGCGCGCGATGAGCACGGACAATCGCCAACTTCACCTATTGTCCAGGAAGAAGTTTTCGGCCTTGTCACATGCGAACTGCAAGATAGTGGGGCTACGGTGTCTCAATTGAGTCAGAGTGAGCAGTTTGCCCACTTCGTGCACATCGAGCGGCCAATCATATGACACACTTGAGCGAGACAATAGGACACCGATGCGCCTATTCATGTATTGACACAGATACCGCCGCGCACTAGGAGTCCGAATATTGTCTTGTTCACTTCTATTGTTTTGCACAGCAATGAAAAGCATCAGGCTTCATCCTTGGAACTTGTTCTTCCTTCCATACATCATCTCCTGCGCCTACTCCAAACAACTTCGCATCCCTTCAGAAGATCTCTACACATCATGACGACACTTGGGAAGCACCCGCGCAGCGACGAGGAAATTCAGAATGCCGATCCGCACTACAAACAAGATGCTCTGATCGAGCCAGAGCACGAAGCCTATTCAGATGAAAACAAGGCTGCTAAGCAAACGCTTTCAGGCCTTCTCCATGAACTCTTGAACATATCACGTTCCCTCCTGTTACATCTTGGCAACGAGCACATTGGATACTTGATCCAGCAGCTCGAAGCAGCCTCTGTCAAGCCAGAAGCGGAGAAGCCTACTATCGCAATATGTGGTCTTTCCGGTGCGGGCAAGAGTGCCTTCATAATTTGCTTGCTCGATGTGCTGAACCTCACTCGCTCGATCAGTAGCGGGAGCAGTGTGACCTGCCTGCCGACAACCTACAAGCAGCAGCTGCCAGGGCAAACCCTCCATTTTGCAGCAGACATAGAGTCCATGACCGACCTTCGCCTGGCGACCCTCTTTCGCGAGCTGATTTCTCACATACGACGCTTCTACGTAGGCCAGGCCAGCGCTGCTTCCGCAAATTGGACGCCTGAGGAAGAGGCCGACTACGAAGAGCGTGCCGGCACGAGCCTAAAGATGATCCTTGTCTCCTTCGATGGCAAGGAGGAATGGTCATCAAAGGACAAGATCATCGAGCGCTGTTCTAACGCAGTCTCCGACGCGAATTTGACTGCACTCATGGGAGAGCTCGTTGAATACTCCAAGGCGACGCTCATCGAGCACGGCTTACTAATAATGGTGGAAGCTTCGTGCTGCGTGTGGAGAGCGGCACTGCTACGGGCTTAGAGGCGCGGATGAGCAAACATGTCTATGAAAACGAGGGACGGGAGAGCGGTCAGTCGGAGCTGTAGCCTCTCCTTAGACGAGTCACGGTTGGGTGTCGCCGTGCGCCACTATTGAAGTATATCAACCTGCGCGATTGTCCTAGCAGTAACGACATAAATCGGATGCGTAGCGAACTTGCCTCAGAAGATATCCAAGAGTGTCAGTACTTGTAGCTGCTTTCTGCTCTGTCCCGAGTTGCTTCGGACCCAACATTCCTGAGACTGCTTACAGTCTACGCTCCACGATTTAGCCCAAATATGATCCCAGTCATCACTCACTACGACTTGGGACTGAACGACGCTCTGGCGGATGAGATGAGTCGGGCTGGTTTTGACTTGACAGCATACAAGCTCAACTCTTAGGCAAAGAAGCAGCTAGAGTCCGAGTTGACTAACATTAAAGCAGAGCTGGCTCAAACCAAAGCTAGTGGTAGTGCAGGAGAATCTGCGTCGCAGAAGTCCGCCGCTAATACAGCTCGGAAGAACGAGCTGAAGGTACAGAAATCTGACGCAGAAGACAAGCTTCGAGACCTGAAAACCAAATCTCTCGATGCGCTAGCAACGGTGCGCGAGCGATACACAACGGCAAAGTTGGAAAGGGCGAGACCTGATCTCTTCAGTGATAGGACGATTCTCTTCCCTTCTAACGAGGCCTACCAGTTTCACAAGGAGGGGGAGAGCGAAGACAAGATAAGCTTGGAAACGACCAATATTCCAAAGATACGAACAATTGCTATAGAGTCAGGTGGAGATGCGCTGCTTAGGAACAATCGTAAATATATGCTCCGCATCTTGAGCGTCATACACGTTGCAAAGATCCTTGTTGATGAAGCCCGACCTTCTGCCCTCCTCAGTCTGGTTACCAAGTTCAGCACCGAAGTAGATGCTTTGCACGAAGTCGACAGGGCACAGAACTGTGCTGACCGCTTCGCCCAAGACATCGCCGCTGATCTGGACATCTTCGTCGCTGCTGCTGTGACTGCTACCAGCAAGGCATACCAAGCACTCCACGCCTCTGTCTTCCGAGCTGTCGTTGTTCGCCATGGCATGTACAGAAGAAAGACCAAGGACAGGACTGTATATCCTGAGCATGTATGTCACTGACCTCAACAAGGATATAATGGTCGCATTGATCGAAGCATTGAATGCGCGCTGGGATCACGCATTGGCGCAACAGTAGGGAGTTCTAGATCAGATCGTCGACAGTGTGATCGCGGCCATAGTAGCCATGGACGAAAACATCAAAGGTAAGATCCTTCTACCAACCAAAGCTACAATGCATTCCGCTAACAATTTCCAGCACTGCCTAACACCGGACTCATCTACGACATGCTAATCATCGCGATTGAGCGCATCCGCCACTTGCGCCACTCAAGCAAAGACGGCCTCGAAGCAGACCTCAGCGTTCTCCTACAAAACGCAACAACAAGCGAGCTCGAGACAGCATACTTCGTCAAAGCCATGCACCCCATCTACGAAGTTGCGAAGGCCGAAACTGGCAGAGGTTGCACGGACCGAATGCGCAAGGCCATCAATCATAGGCTGACACACAACGACACCAACCCATTCATTATCACGTACGACACCATGAAAACCACTCATCGCCGCGCAGCCGAAAAGCACATCACCAAACTCCACACCGAAATCAAGAAGATCACACATTCTCTGATCGAAGGTCTTCGCCGAGCTTCAAACGTTAAGCATCGCAGTGCAGAAGAAAAGGAGACGTGGAATGTCATTGGGAAGTTCCTTTCGGACCATTAGGAGGAGATTTTGCAGGTGAAGAATGTTCTTAAGATTGAACAGGAGGAACTTCGTCGGGAACTTGCAAAGTTCGCGGTGCAGCGTGGCGTGCAGCAGGCCAGTGGACCGTCTTGGCTTTCGGGGGTTTTGTGGGGGTTTTTGGGTTCTGGGAGGAAGTGAGGAGTGTTGGTTGAGAGGGGGTGTGTTGCTTCATAAGATATGGTCTTAGATGTGATGGGGAAGAGAAGGGCTATCTCCGTTTCAGCCCCTTGCTGTTTGAGCGCAAGGAGGTTTTTAGTGTAGCAGGTGGTGGGCTCTTTCCAACTACTACCTTCACTACCTTTACTACCTTCTATTTAATACCTTCTACCTTCCACCTCTAACTATTCTATATCGGACTACTACGCGACTGGACCTATACACCTACACACTAAACTATACTAACCTCCTTGCGCTAGCAAGGGTCTAAGGACAAATGTGCTAAATCTGCAGTATTATCCTTATAAAAATAAAAGATTACCAACTAGCGTAGAATACTATAATTTGATATATATATATTATAGCCCTGCCATTTCTAAGTCATTCTATATATATAATATTCAAATGCGACGTATAGTTATAAAAAAAACAAGCAATCCTTACTACGGGTAGATATACGTATACGACGGATTGTTATAGAGCGCTGCCACCTAATATCTAATATAGGAAATACACACATCTATAACTAGGAGGTTGTAGACCGGCTATTCCTAAGTACTGTTTATATAAGCTATATATCGAGAAAATGTATACCTACTATCTGCTAGCTCTTAAGCGGAGCTAAGCTAGGTACTCGTAATAAGACCTTCGGATCTCGACAAGTAATAACTCGGAGGTTCTAGAATAGCTAATTCTTAATTACTTTAATATAAGCTATGTTTATATAGAGCGTAGTATTGTTATATTATATCTAAGTAGCGGAGGTTATTTAGCTAGCTCGAGGCTAGCATAAAAAGCTAGTATAAAAAGCCAGCACCGAAAGCTAGCACTAGTATATTGTCTACTAATATTCTCGGTTATGTACTAAGCTATAGAAGATCCTGCGTATAGGCGGCCTTCTGTAGTCGGCCTTCTATAGTCGGCCTTCTATAGAAGGCTTCCTATAGTCGACTTCCTATAGGCCATCGTTTGCCGCGCTTAGATAAGCAAGCCCCTAAAACACAGTCTTGTTCGGCTTCGGATGCGGGTTAAGGCAGACTCACTCTATATATCGTGTATCGTATGTTATGTATCGTATGTCGCTGTTAGTAATTCAAAAAAAGGCCTCGTTTACACGCTCTTTATTTAAGTAGGCCTAAAGGCAATAGGGCTTTGCCGTTTTAAGCTACGGGTATAATATCGGGCTGCCGCCCTTCTTCTTCTTCTTCTTCTTCTTCTTCTTCTTCTTCTTCTTCTTACTCTTAGCTTCTTCCGCCTCGCATCTAGTACTTACATTTAGCACTCGTATTTAGTACTCGCATTTAGTACTCGCATTTAGCACTCGTATTTAGCACTCGCATTTAGTACTCGCATTTAGTACTCGCATTTAGCACTCGCATTTACTACTCGCGTCTACTACTAATATGTCCGACGTCGACCTACTAGACTCCGACCTACTAGACCTGCTAAGTGCGCTTTCTAGCCTGCCGCTAAATCTATACCCGAATAAGTTGTCTAAGCTATTGTCTAAATTAAACCTAGATTCCGAGGCAGATACTAGTATATAAGCCGCGCTTAATATAGACTAGCAATATATCGAGGCAGACCGCCGGATAGCTACTAATAAGGAGGCTACTAGCGACGAAGAGGCACGTAGAGCGGCTCTATTCTAGGCGGTCGCTAATAAGGATATATATAAGGCGGAAACATATAAGCAGGAGGATCTTAGCGATAATAATATCGCATTAGAAGAGGCGGAAGAGGCTCCTATCGAAGAAGATAAGGCTATCGATCCGTTTAGTAATATAGAGGAGGATAATAGCGATAAACTCGTAGACGAGGAAAATGCGGAGGATACTAGTATAGTAGCTCCGCGCCGCTAGACTCGATAACAAACTCGACTCGTAGAAGAAGCTACTACTACTATAGGTCGTCGACGCGGCGGACGTCTCTAGTAAAACCGGACGACTCGAGGCACCTACCGCATTCGTAGTTAGCGTCGTACCCGCGAGTAGAAATATACTAACATCTTCGGAGAGATAAAGCGTGCTAAGCTGCTACCTAAGCAGTAGATAATAATGTTTAATAGCTATAGCGAGAAGCTAAATAGGACCTATCGTAACTATATCCGCTAGTCTATAGCTGCTCTTAAACATAAGTATATCTTCTCGGCTCGAGTTATTCGTAATAAGCTAAAGAAGCTCGTTAGCAAGCGATTCTTTAACTAGTATAATCCGGAAGATTCGATAAAGGATGTTAACCTACTAGAGATATATAGTGTTATCGAAGAGACTACGCCGACCTAGGTTGATCTTCTACGCAAGCTGCTTCTAAATAAGAAGATTCTAATCGGTAAGGAGGATAGTCTACTATATAAGCAGGATCGCCTCCGTAAGCGTATTGTAGTAATAATATAGATAGCTGTCCGCTCGATCTCCCTAAAGAAGGCCTCGATTTTCGGCAAGCAATTCGGACTATACCTAGTTACTAGCGGCGTACTATACTACGTTATTAGTGTTATTAACAATATAGGCCTTTCTAGTGCCGCTCGGACGATTTAAGTATTAATGCGGAAGACAGAGGCAGTCTAGGATTAGCGTATCGTTATAATAGCTCGAGATAAGCGGAGTTTTACGGTATACGACAACCTCGTAAAGTAGAAGAACCGCTAGGGCGTCTAGAAGCAGGGTAACCGTACGGAGATACTAAATATAACTACCTCCTATATCGGTATTAACGAGCGTATTCTAGTAGAAGGTTTAACTAAGGATATAATTAATTTAAACTCGGAGCTTAGCTATAAACACATCCTAGAGAACCTTACCTAGGACGCGAAGAATAGAACCCGGAAGCACCTCTCGTTATACTATATCGACTAGGCTTTAGGTATCGTATTTAGACTAGAGCTAAAGGGTATATTCGAGGGTTACGATTTCGAGGTACGATATTTGTAAGAAGGGTATGTTAGTAGGTAGATAGGGTAGTAGTAGGTACGAGTAGTATTCGATAAGGATCTAGAAGGAGAGGGAGGAAGGCAGGAGAGTTAGCCTAACGCTAAGCGCCAAGCCCTGCCTAAGGCATCGAGACCCTAGCTTCACTCGGCCTAGTTACATGCTAATTACGTATAGCCTCTTTAGCCCTAATATACGCTTCCCTTCTAAAGGCCGCGCCCTCGTAGCCTGCCTATATTCTAATCCCGACCTCTATTGCCGCTAACTTAGCAAGTCTAATAAGCTACTTAGCCGCGCTAAATTGAACACTTAACTACCTAATTATATAACTATGTAAAACCTTACCTCTAAACAATATAATGTACAACTCTAACTGCGCTATCCTTATATACAATAAAGTAAAGGGATATAAAGCTATAAGAATTGAGGGCTATCGACCAATTATAATACGAGCGCGTCTTCCCTGCTATAATAGGTAGACGTACGAGGTATTGCAGCCCTACCTCCGCTCTAAGTAATGTCGTACCGAGTTCTTTGCGTCTACTCTTAAAAGACCTAGCAATGTCCGCTCCGAGGGTTTGTCCGTTCCGAGGGTTGTTCTTATTGTTCGTAGTTTCGCTAGCCCTAATTAGCTAGGTTTAGTAGCCTTTAAGTGTCAATCTTATCTTATCTTTTTAAAAAACACAGCTCGTCTAGTTTCTATAGGTAAAGGCTATTATAAGTGTAGTAGTAGAGGTTCGCCTCGCTTAAAGGGTTAGATAGATCGAGGAGTAACCTATTGTCCGCAAGATCGACCCCGGCTAGCTTAGCTCTATAGTTTTGCCCTTAGTTAGTCTATTAGTCGCTTAATCTTTTTAGGCGGCTTAAAGTTTTGACTTAGCCTTAAAGTTTTAATCAAACCTTTAACTAAAGGTGCCTTAGGCTCGTAGTATAGGTAAGGTTGCCTTCGCAAGTATAGCGACAATAGCAAGTAATATTAATAATAGCGGTGCTAGCCGTCTTAGCGCTAACTTCACCTTGCTTCTAATTTCTTTCTTTAACTAACAATAACTCGGCAACACCGTCACTAATATAGCGGTGTCCTTCCTTTCTTAAACGGCAACACACTCTATAACACTGTTACTAACATAGCCGCGCCGGCCGCGCCGTCCTTACCGATTGCCTAGGCCTCGAGGCCTCGACAGAATAAGGGAACAAGAGGGGGATCTATAGGGCGCGTTAGTAAAGAGGTGGAGTCCTTAAAAGAGTAGGCAATTGGTTGACGCGTCGTAGCGCGCCTAGTATAGTCTTATTGTCCTTTGTTGCTAACAATTGCTTGCCTCTAATTAGTTAGCTAATAGTACCCTAGGGGTAGTATTAATCCTAGGCCTTAATAGTAATATTATAAGCTTTTAGCCTTCTTCTTATTCTTTACGCTAGTCTAATACTCATCTAACAACTCGGTTATGTCCTTAAAGGAGTCTTTAGCTTCCTATAAGTCCTATTCTAGTAAATAGCCTTGCTATCTTAATAGGTACTCCTTCTTGCCTTACCTAGTCCGATAGTTTAGGATACGTTCTACAGACTATAGTTCTTCGCTATTAGCTAAGACTTCTTCTAACTTAGCAGGCGCTTTATCGCCTTCGCGTTAGTAGTACGGTTTAAGGAGGGAGATATAGAAGGTATTATAGATAGTATAATAAGGTAGAAGCCATAACTAGTAGGCCTAGCTATTGCCCTTCGGTTCTCGGATACGGAATAGCCTAATGTATCTTAGTGCGAGCTTAGGCCTTATTTTGCCGTTAGGTAATAGGTGTTTGCGGATACGGAGGTTCTTAGTGCTTAGTATAACTATGTCGCCTTGCTTGAAAGTTATTAGCGTATAGTGTTTGTTATAGTAGGCCTTCTAATATG